GATTAAAGAGTGAAAGTAAGAGTGAAAGAACGGAGAAAGTTTGTACAGAGGAATAATGAAGAGAAAGAGAGAAAGTCCTCTTGTTGGTCAAAGTATCTTTAAAGAGAACAGGAGAAAGTACTGACCTACTAACAAACATGAATTGAAAGTGAGAGATAAAGCAGGAGAGAGAGAGAGAGAGAGAGAGAGAGAGAGAGAGAGAGAGAGAGAAAGTCGCATCCGAGAGTAAGGTAGAAAGGAGAGTAAGAATAGAAGAGAAGAAAGAGAAAGTACAGAGAAAGTTTTAAGGAAAGACGGTACCTAGGATATAGTTAAAGAAGAATAGAAAGAAAGAAGGAATGAAAGAGAGTAAGCAGAAAATTGTTAAAAAAGAGAAAGAATGGGATAAGAAGAAACAGCGAGAGAAAGAGAAAAGAGAAAGTATAAGGATAAGTCCGTATACGAAAGAAGGGAGAGGGAGAGAAGAGGAGAGAGAAGGAGAGAAATAAATTGGGTGGAAGGGAAAGAGGACAATAACTTAGGAGAGTAATGGCGCGAGGAAGACGGGGATGACGTGGAGGAAGAACGGTGGAAGGAGGAGGAGGAGGAGGAGGAGGAGGAAGAGAGAATGGAAGGAGGAGGTGGTGCAGGAGAGGGAGGAGGAAGATATGGAAGGATAAGGAAAAAGAGGGTATGGGAGAAGGTGGAGGAAGATAGAATGAAAGGAGAAGGAAGAAGAGAGTATGGAAGAAGAAGGAAGAGGAGGAGAAGGAAGAGGAATAGAGTATGGAAGTACGATGAGGAGGAAGGGGGTATGGAAGTAAGAAAAAGGAGACGAGAGAGACTATGAAGAAGAAGGAGGAGGAGGAGGAGGAGAAGAGAGAAGAAGAAGGGAGGGAAAACAGTAATGGAAGAATCTATGGATAAGCTAAAGTATTGATCATCAGTTGTGTTGGTGGAGAGAGAGAGAGAGAGAGAGAGAGAGAGAGAGAGAGAGAGAGAGTCTAAGATATGATAGGGCCGCGGGCGAGATCTTCTTTATCACCGACAGTAGAGGAAAAACACGTATAGAGCTGCCTGACGCACTTATGGAGATGTGGAGTTGTGAATGGAGGGACTGAGACAAGGTTTTGGAGGAACTTGATAAAGGTGTAGAGACTGAAAGAAGAAAAGAAACACGTGAAATGGTATAGACAGACAGACAGATATGAAGAGAGAAACAAAGAGAAATTGGTGAAAAGAAGAAAGGAAATTGTGAAAGTAAAAGTGAAAGAAAGGTCTGAGTAATATGTGTAAGTAAGGGAGGGATTGAATTAGAGAGAGAGAGAGGGTAGAAATAAAGATGAAGGATGAAGGGAAGGTGGAGGGTACAGGGGGAGGGTAGGTTTGGAGGGAATCAAGGAGGGTGGAGGAAAGGAAGGGGTAGAGATTGCAGTGATGATGGAAGGGTGAAGGGAGGAAGGTGATGACAAGTTGGCCCTTCACTTCCCTTCCTCCTCCTCCTCATCCTCCTCCTCCTCTTCCATCCTAGAAAGGTGGTTGACTGTCTGACCTGCTGGCTGGTTGACTGTCTGACCTGCTGGTGGGCTGACTGTCCGACCTGCTGGCTGGATGACTGTCTGACCTGCTGGCTGACTGTTTGACCTGCTGGTTGACTGACTGTCTGACCTGCTTTGCCGGCTATCTGACCTGCTGGTTGACCCCGGCTGTCCTGACCTGCTGGCTGGCCTGACTGTGGCGCCCTGTCCTGCTGGCTGACTGACTGTCTGGCCTGCTGGCTGAGCTGGCTATGCAGCCTGCTGGCTGACTGACTGTCTGGCCTGCTGGCTGACTGACTGTCTGTCCTACTGGCCTTTGATGACTGACTGTCTGGCCTGCTGGCTGATGACTGTCCCTGACCTGCTGGCTGACTGACTGTCTGTCCTGCTGGCTGACCTGAGCTGTCTACAGCCTGCTGGCTGACTGACTGTCTGACCTGTTGGCTGACTGGCTGTATCTCTGACCTGCTGGCTGGTTGACTGACCTGCTGGTGGGCTGACTGTCCGACCTGCTGGCGCTGACTGTCTGACCTGCTGGCTGACTGACTGTCTGACCTTGCTGCTGGCTGACTGACTGTCTGGCCTGCTGCGCTGACCCGGCTGTCTGTCGCACTGGCTGACTGACTGGCTGGCCTGCTGGCTGACTGACTGGCTGTCTGACCTGCTGGCTGACTGTCTGCCACTGCTGGCGGCTGACTATACAGCCTGCTGGCTGACTGACTGTCTGACCTGTTGGCTGACGCTGACTGTCTGACCTGCTGGCTGGTTGACTGACCTGCTGGTGGGCTGACTGTCCGACCTGCTGGCTGACGGACTGTTTGACCCACCTGCTGGCTGACGGACTGTCTGACCTGGCATGACTATCTGACCTGCTGGTTGACTGACTGTCTGACCTGCTGGCTGGCTGACTGTCTGTCTGCTTCTGGCTGACTGACTGTCTGGCCTGCTGGCTGATGACTGTCTGACCTGCTGGCTGACTGACTGTCTGTCCTGCTGGCTGACTGACTGTCTGTCCTGCTGGCTGACTGACTGGCTCTGGCCTGCTGGCTGACTGACTGTCTGACCTGCTGGCTGACTGGCTGGCTCTGGCCTGCTGGCTGACTGACTGTATCTGTCCTGCTGGCTGACGGCTGGCTCTGGCCTGCTGGCTGACTGACTGGCTCTGTCTGCTGGCTGACTGACTGTCTGGCCTGCTGGCTGACTGACTGGCTGGCCTGCTGGCCTGACTGACTGTGACCTGCTGGCTGACTGACTGTGTCTGGCCTGCTGTGGCTGACTGACCCAATGTCTGTCCTGCTGGCTGACCTGACTGTCGACCTGCTGGCTGACTGGCTGTCTGGCCTGCTGGCTGACTGACTGTGTCTGTCCTGCTGGCTGACGGCCCTGTCTGGCCCTGCTGGCTGACTGACTGTCTGACCTGCTGGCGGCTGACTGGCTGGCGCCATCCTGCTGGCTGACTGACTGTCTGTCCTGCTGGCTGACGGCTGTCTGACCTGCTGGCTGACTGACTGTCTGTCCTGCTGGTTGACTGACTGTCTGGCCTGCTGGCTGACCCCGGCTGTCTGACCTGCTGGCTGGATGACTGTCTGATCTGCTGGCTGACTGACTGTCTGTCACTGCTGGCTGACTGACTGTCTGTCCTGCTGGCTGTTGACTGTCTGGCCTGCTGGCTGACTGACTGTCGACCTGCTGACTGGATGACTGTCTGATCTTATAGCTGGTTAACTAACCGCCTAATTATGATTAATATTTATGTGATGATGTTACATAACATACATGCATACATACATGCATACATACATGCATACATACATACATACATACATACATACATACATATATTCGTATTATGTTTAGGTGAGACATAACGTATTTGATAACCTTTACAAGAGAAAGTTTATCTAGACTCTCAAAATATGTCTTATGTTTTAACACAGTAGGGGACCATGAATAGGCTTGTGGCTGTGTTAACCCGTAAAGACATCAATGATATGAGTCAACTCGGCCAGAAGTACTGTATATATAACAGGTGTTACATCCTCCCCACGCAACACCTGCCGGGGGTCATACCGTCACACCTTCATCAGCCAAGGATCCAATAAGCATCTTTTTTATCCATTATAACACAAAATAGTTTCACAAAAGTCTGTGTTGAAAAAAGAATGTTTATGTTATCTAACCTGACTACAATAAATGAAGTGTTTAATTGTCAACACATAAAGGTAAAGTTCCAACAAGAGAGATACTAACAGAACCAGGTGTTGTACTCTAGTGGTTTGTAGCTTCACATGATAAAACAAACAACATAATTGAGTTAAAACTTGTAAACAAGTCATTTAACATACGCTAACAGAGTGTGTATTGACAAACGCTCCTCCACAAGGGAAGATGTAGAACAACAATGATAAAAATAATGAGGTTAGCCCCAGTCCAGCATGTAGACTTAAAGGTTCATATAATTAAAGTATATTCAACTTGTTAAACATTAAAAGATCCCTATAAACTGTTCCAGACTTCCCTAACTACTCCCTATAAAACAATCTACTCGCCATTCATTCACACACAATAACTCTTGTGTTTACTGCCTCTATTATATTTATCAACTGCTTCTGTCATTTCTTAATTGCTTCCAAGTAACCAAAATTTGTCACTGTGTGTTATTATTAGTCAAGGTTTCAGTTGTAGGTTCAGTATCAATATTGAAGTCAAAGGGAGAATGAAGTTTGACCTTTCTGCATATGTGCGATTATATATATATATATATATATATATATATATATATATATATATATATATATATATATATATATATATATATATATATATTATATATATATTATATATATATATATATATATATATATATATATTTATATATATATATATATATATATATATATATATATATATATATATATATATATATATATATATATTATATATATATATATATATATATATATATATATATATATATATATATATATATATATATATATATATAATATAATATATATAAATATATATATATATATATATATATATATATATATATATATATATATATATATATATATGTAAATATAAATATATATAAATATATATATATATATATATATATATATATATATATATATATATATATATATATATATATATATATATATATATATATATATATATATATGCACCGTATGCAGAAAAATCTTCAGTCATCAAAAATGTCATAGATTTTTCAGGCCCAGCTAGTAAGTAGGTACAGTACAATTAATCAACTAAGTCCAAAATTCCCATTTCCTTTAACGTCAGGTAGAGTCAATAATATTTTCCCTGAGTTGGATGAAACTAAATCATCTTCCTTACTTACAAGTGTTGCTCATTAACTGATGCCATTAGCTTAACAAATATTAATGACCTGTTGTTTTTTTTTTATCTTTTTCCCGAAGCTTTAATTACTAGTCTAGACATGTTTTCTTGTTTTAGGATGAAAAGAACCAAATCCTAACAACAAACGTATGGTTGAATATGGTAAGTTTTCTGGGTCCCCCGACACGCGGCCATACTTTGTGTGCTCACCACAACTAACTTTCTCTGAGCTACCATGTCCACGTAGCAAGGCTCCGCCAGCCCTTCCATTCACGAAACCAAAAACAAAACCGAGAAGTTTAGCGATTTAATTCCCTCTTATAAAATACGTATGTGTAATATTGGACACTACATATCGTTATGTCTCGCTAATCAGCGTAATAAAATGTGTTTCGACGTAATTAAACAATTTGTGAACTTCTCCTGTCGCGTGTAATTGGACAAGAACATGACATGTGCGCACCTGACGTAAGTGTCTGTGGTCGTGAGTATTGTGAAGGGCGACAGGACCCTGCTTGTTGGACGTGTGTATGTCTCTTGTACTGTCAGTATTGGGCAGGCTGTATATGGTCCCGTTTGTCTTGGAGTTTGCCCAAAATGACAGGCAGCCTCAATGTACTTTTGTGTATGCAGAGAAAAATGAGGAATGCGGTCTTGCTAGATGACTCTCTCTTAGTACAGTCTCTGTTCCTTTGTTTCCTCATTTTTCTTGCTTTCGCGTCCCTGTTTCGGTGTGTAGTGGCAGTCATTGGGGAAATGAAATCGTTATTACAATATGTTTTCTTTTTATTGCTTTAAGGATGAGAAGAATCAGCTCCTAATAACAAACACATGGTTAAAATTGGTAAGTTATTAATATCTTTAACTTAACAAAGTGAGGATAAATAAAGTTGTATGTTAAATAAGCAAACTATGATTCATAAATGCACAATAAAATTTCACCCTCATGCTTGATTTAAAGAATTCTAATTTTACACAACTAAATGTTCTAAATGAAAAAAAAAGAAGTCAAGAAATTAATAATAATAAAGGAATAGAACCAAGACGGGGAAATCCTCAGCAGAGACAACTTAGTTTATCCTCCAAGCTAATATTTCCACGTTCTCTTTGACTGAGTCTTCTTCAGCTCTCTGTGATCAATACCCTATACTTCCATGAATCACGAAATATCTCGTTGTACTACAAGAAGGCTTCTAATATAAAGCATTGTGCATGCAATATTAAATTAATATACTAATTTTTCAAACATATATATTATCACTAACAGAATGCTAATTAAGCATTATAATAATGCACTATATCGAGATAAATAAACTAATCGGGTTTCCCCAAGAATTTAGACTGAGTATTGCAGCTTTGGCAAAATGCAGATATTAGATTATGGCTTTGTCGTAGGCTTGATAAGTTGCTGTTTGTCAGTAGAGTCTTCACTCCCAGGGGGAAACTGTGTGACGGCAACATGTAGCTAGTTGCTTCACTCAAACATTGAGGGCAAGAGAAAGATGGAGGACGAACGTGCCTAGGAGTCTAGTTTTAACTCGCTAACCTCAAAGCTTCAACATTCTCACGCTGACAGAGAATGAATGTTTTATATTTTTTTGTTCAAAGATTTTAATCCCATAACATCCTTCAAGCTAACGACTAGTCCATCCATCCTTCGGTAGTGCAAGCAGTCCAGCTCACCTCTCATTGTACGCGGATATAATGCATGCTTTATCACATGTTCAGCAAAGCGTAAGCCAAATAATATCCATCCAAGATTATTATTTATTAATTCTCTTTGGTATTATATATATATTTGTCTATCAATATATATATATAATTATACTTATATGTATGTAAGCTAAAGAGTTCCCCCCTAGGGCTACTTGATATAGTGAGTCTGTAAGGTTCATATATATACTGTATAGTGTGTATATATATACAATATATATATATATATATATATATATATATATATATATATATATATATATATATATATATATATATATATATATATATATATATATATATATATATATATATATATATATATATATATATATATATATATATATATATATATATATATATATATATATATATATATATATATATATATATATATATATATATATATATATATATATATATATATATATATATATACCCTTGTTGCATCATGGACGTGAGAATGGTATACATAAATAATCACAGTGGAATATTTGTCATGCAATCTATAATGCTGAATAAATATATATATAACTTCTCTAGATACCACAAGTAGCTGTCATCTCATACCACCCCCCTCCTCACCCCCCACCCTTCAGGAGTGGAAAGACGTCAACCTACAGTGGAATGAAACGGATTATGGCGGAGTCAAGGACCTTAGAATTCCACCTTATAAAATATGGAAACCGGATGTATTGATGTACAACAGGTGGGTCAATAATACTGGATTGATACTTTTCAGGTAGATTGTTGATGATGATGATGATGATGATGATCTTGCTCCAGATATTTATAACAATCACACACACACACACACACACACTCACACACACACACACACACACACACACACACACACACACACTCACTCACTCACACACACACACACACACACACACACACACACACACACACACACACACACACACACACACACACACACACACACACACTCACACAATGTATATCAACATATTCTTAAGGAACAGGGAGACGACTTTATGAAGACTCTCGCCACCAAGGTATGTCAACAACAACAACTGTGTGTGTGTGTGTGTGTATTCACATATATCAGTTAAAGTTTACAGTGGGTTCAGCTCACCTCTTCCTTCCTTCCTTCTTACTCTCTCTCTCTCTCCCTCTCTCTTCCATCACCACCCTCCTCCTCCTTTCCTTCACACCTCCACTAACACCTCCTCTCCTTCCTTTCCTCCTATCATCTCAATTTCTACTCCCTCTCTCCAAAAAAAACTAAAATCCTATATCTTTCTCCGTAATTATCGTTATCCTCTCCAAAAATCGCCATGTATTCACCAAAAATCGCCATGTATTCACCAAAAATCGCGATGTATTCACTAAAAATCGCGATGTATTCACCAAAAGTCGCGATGTATTCACTAAAAATCGCAATGTATTCACCAAAAATCACTGTATATTTCCCAATAAATCGTTATCTTTCCGTTCCTATAATTGGCAATAATTTCGTTCCAGGAATCCTAACTCTAGGTTGTCTTGTCTCCTGTCTAAATCCTTGAGGTTAGGGCCGTATTGCGTTCACCTGTCTCTACCTGTCTTATCTCTCTCTCTCTCTCTCTCTCTCTCTCCTCTCTGTCTCTCTCTCTCTCTCTCTCTCTCTCTCTCTCTCACAGCTCTAACTTGCTCCTTTTCTTCCTCCTCTCCCTCTCCCAGCATCTCTCTCTCTCTCTCCTCCTATTCGACATAACAATCGTCAATAATATAAGACACAAATATAAGGAGAACAACCCATGGCAAGAACAAGTACCCCCCCACCCCAGCCTCCTTCCCCCTCTCCGCCTACATAGTCTGAAAGCAAGCCAATCAAAACGCTGGAAATTTGCCACACTTCCCTCATACCACCCTCTCAGATTTTTTTTGTCCCACCAGCCTGAAACTGCGATTGACTTACGTCCTGAAATGTCAATGAATTCAGCACTACTGTATATGGAAAGAAATTGAACTTACTCGGGTGTAGCTTTTGTATTTATGAAACTCTTTCCCTCCTGCTGCCGCCATCTAAAAGTCGATTTAATGCATAGAAGAAACGATTTCGTAAACGATTTCGTAAAAGTTGTGGTCATAATGGATGTTTTCGTTCACCTGGTTGCTGGCTAAGATGATGTTGGATGTGGATAATTTACACTGAGATGATGTTGGATGTGGATAATTTACACTGAGATGATGTTGGATGTGGATAATTTACACTGAGATGATGTTGGATGTGGATAATTTACACTGAGATGATGTTGGATGTGGATAATTTACACTGAGATGATGTTGGATGTGGATAATTTACACTGAGATGATGTTGGATGTGGATAATTTACACTGAGATGATGTTGGATGTGGATTGTATAGACTGTGGTCGAGTTTATCGTAAGGAAGAGAGACATTTTCTTTACTGACAACAGATGAAACTCTCACAGTGCATCGATCCCCACAAACCAACAACAGTGAGAAAATATAGTAAAAGACACAAAACAAACAGAAAAAACGTGTGTGAACGATACAGAAATACAGAGACAGAAACTACACAAAAAATAACTGGTGTCCATGAGATGACAGATGAGAGCAATGTTGAGTGTTGTTGACAATGGCTAGCGAGGAGGAAGACTCGTTTTTTCCAGAGACCAAAACAGAAGTCAGGGTTAAAGGTGGAGGAAATGGAGGATGGGGGAACTTAGTTGTTTCTTTAAGGATTGACAACTGGGTGGAAGAAAGATAGATCTAGATGATTCTCAATATTTAGTTGAGATATTTTGTTAGTTGTCTCATTGTTTACTTGTGTACTTTTCAGATAAACACACATACATATATACACATATATACACACGCACACACATACATACACTATATACAGCAACATTATACCACACCTTCCACACTACACCCCATACACCACACTCTCCACACTACACTCCCCATACACCACACCCTCCACACTATACTCCCCATACACCACACCCTCCACACTATACTCCCCATACACCACACCCTCCACACTATAATCCCCATACACCACACCCTCCACACTATAATCCCCATACACCACACCCTCCACACTCTGTACCCCTATACACCACATCCTCCCACACTATACTCCCCATATACCACATCCTCCACACTATACCCCATACACCACATCCTCCACACTACACCCCATACACCACACCCTCCACACTGTACTCCCCATACACCACACCTCCACACTATACTCCCCATACACCACATCCTCCACACTACACCCTTACACCACCCTCCACACTATCCCAACACCACACCCTCCACACTATACTCCCCATACACCACACCCTCCACACTATACCCCCATACCACATCCTCCACACTACACCCCCATACCACATCCTCCACACTATACTCCTGTACACCATACCTCCACACTGTACTCCCCATACACCACACCTCCACACTATACTCCCCATACACCACACCCACACTATACCCCCATACACCAACCCTCCACACACTCCCCATACACCACACCCTCCACACTATACTCCCCATACACCACACCCTCCACACTATATTTTTCTTGTAATATATTCAGCCTCTGAGAACCTTGCAATACTCAATTGAACACTGGACGCTGTGTATACAATCAAGTTACAACAGTTTAATGGCAAGTGATTTTTTGTCATTGATCATCATCCCAAAACATAAGTAATTTGTATATAAATCACTTAATTTTTTGCTTTCCCGATCATTAAAATTTGTATTACATCTCATATTGTTATTTTGTTTTGATTATAATTCAACTCGTCTTGAGGTTAGAGTACAGTCATGAACGAGATTTCTATTAACCTGTTCGAAACTGTGCCGAACCTTAATGGCATATATTACAGAGCCGTATATTGGTAAAACAAGCAGTTAGGGGACTCGTTACAGTAGTTCGGAGATTCGTTCCAATATTTCGAAGACTCGTTTCATTAGTTCGAAGACTCGTTTCATTAGTTCGGCTTCACGTTTGTTTACATTTCGAAGCCAGAGGTGAAAGCACAGTGACAGGCGGAATGGCAGCTCAGAGAACAGCGTCTACATCAGCGAGGAGGAGTGGTGGACCTTCTTATTAACAGTGACCGGGGAAACAAGACAGTGATCTCTATGATAAAAGTCGTGATTTTTAGTGATCAGGAAGAAGCTACAGCCTTGGCAAGAGGTGACAGATGGAGGCTTTTAGTGCAGTTGGCAGTGGATCCACAGCTACGTAAAATATATAGAAGCCTACAAAGGTGCAGGTATGTTTTAGAATGGCATTTACTCTTATTATAGGTATAAATAATGAAGGTCTGGTGTCGTTTCAGGGATCACTAACTTAGCCTAATTTTCAATGTTTATGTGTGGTATAGAGTCCTACAACTGAAATGAATTATATTTAACTCATCAAGGTGATTGTGTTGCTTTTAAAATGATATCTGCTGACACTGTTTATTTATTTATCATATATTTAAGATATATTCGTATTTCGTATATGATTGTTCTGGTACTGAACGACTGTATCACTTATAAAAATGACAGAGTATGTAGCGAAGGACATACCCAAGGAATATCTAATGAGGAAATGTAACTCCCGAAGAATAGTGTGGTGCCAATTAAGGCTGTTCTAGTTTACTCGACTCTGTCGTTAGGTGGCGCCACTGTCACCATCTGTAGTCTGCTTTGTTCACATCTTGGAATCTTCAGAATAATAATTTCGCTTTTTTTTTCGAAGTAGAACGCAATTTTGTTAAAAGGTGGCGGAAATTAATTGATAAATGCTAAAAGAGTTTTACATAATAATATTGTAAGAACAAATAATATAGTTCAAATTTTAGTATATTTTCAAACGAAATAATAATTATGACAAAACATATAATCGCTCAGGGACATTCAGGAATAATTTACGGAATTAAAATCGGACGTCAGAGTGAATAGTTATACATTAATTGTGTTACGCTGAAATACGTATCGAATAAAAAATATGAATTGAAATAACATTCACACTCACCTGGTCTATATCCCTTTACTGTACATATAAACAATTATTTTCTGTATTCACACCCTTGATGATCGTCATGTTACCTAGCCTCTTGATGGTCAGTCAGTCAAGTCTCTGTTGCACCTTCCTCTTCCTTTTGTTTACTGCGGTCACTCACTCTCCATTTTCACTAATTATGGTCCTATATACACATTACTTATGGCCACTTACGTAATTTTTGTATGAGTTAGGATTAAATCGCCTCTCTCTCTGTTGAGCTTGTGTGAGTTTCTGTCTGTGTAATAATAACAATAATAATAATTAAAGGTTTATTCAAAATGCACAATGGAAAGAAATGGAGTAGATTACATAAGAAGATATTGGGTCAGGGGAAGGAAACACGTGGTGAACATACTGTACAGGTTAACAAGAATGTGAGACACTGTGGCTGATCTTATTCCTGATGGCCTGGTACAGCTGGTGTTGCCCTACGGTAGCTGTGGTGTGTGGGTACAGCCAGTGTTGGCCTCTGATGCAGCGCTGTGGTGTGGTACAGCTGCGTTGCTGGCCTCGATGCAGCCGTGGTGGCACAGTTGCAGGCAGCCTCGATGCGCCAGCCAGTGTTGATGCAGCGGTGCCGGTTAAAGCGTTTAACCGACGCAGCTGTGCGCGCAGCTGGTGTTCTGATGGCAGCGTGGTACGACAGGCGTCGGGCC